AGCATTTAAAATTTTTAAAGCATCCTTATTACTTATTTACATTTTTAAAAAGCAGTTTATAACAACAATTAAATAAATAATTGTATTTGCGATTTCAAGTTCAAGTTTACGGAATTAATCTAATGATGCAAATTAATGTAAATCTAACAACGTATGTATATCGTGGTCTGTCTATTTTAAAGTGCTAACTTCAATGCACTACATATGTATGAGCGGTATAACTCATATACAGTGACATTGGGGGAAATGCTGCCACTTTAGCTAACACCATCAATACAATATAGTCATGCAATGAACTCTGTGAGAAAACAAATTAATAACTAATAGTTCATCTCGCATAATACGTAAATCACTACTTCATGAAATTCTATGAATTAGGACACTGCTTAGAAGACTGAATACCTTTTGTTACACGCGGCTTTCAGTGTATACGAGAGTTGAGTGCCATTAAGTCATCATTCGTCAAATAGAACACTGCAAGAAAATAGCAATCTTGAAAAAACTCAAGTGTCGGGAACATCTCCTCAGAGGCATGTGATGACATCATCCCACGAAGTATGGTACCCAAAAACTTCTTACGGTAGTGAAAAAAATGGTGATGAATATCATATCCCAAAGGGCAGCTTAAAAAGCAGCCCTTGCTTGTGTATGGGCCGCTTTTGCCCCACTGTACACCGCGACGAGCCTCGCCGGCGAGCTGAGCTGAGCGGAGAGGAAAGGCTTGGTGGGCGGGCGGGGCGAGGGGGGCGGCCCCTCTAACCCGAATCCGAACCGGCTCCGGCGCGGAGCCGCCGCCACCGTCGCCACAGCCGCCCGCGCGAGCATTCTGCGAAAGACGCGTCGCGTCGCGAAAGAAGACGCCGCCGCCGCCGGCTGCTGCGACGCCGCCGCTACCGGAAGGATGCGGCCGCTGGCTGGGTGCATCAACGCCCCACGCGACGCGCCGACACACGCACGCGGGAAGCCTGGCTTTGCGAAAACGACGCGTCCCACTTCGCATTGACATGTCATAAATTTAATAGGATTCAGCTGACGCTTATTATATTCCCTTCGGTAGACGTCATTATTATGGGTACTTTAAATTTTTTGCTACCAGTAATTATATTTTTGAAAGTTTATTATTATTATTATTATTATTATTATTATTATTATTATTATTATTATTATTCCCAAATTCATTCCAAAACGGCTATCCTATCTCAAATGATGCAATATTTAAAAAAGCCTGGAAGCGTAAAGAAGAGCCCTTTTTCAATCGAATGGCTTAGATAAGTAACAAAATATGGCATAGCAAGACTGCCCTTGTATGCAAGTGTCAATACACCTCAATTTCGGTGACATAGTGACTTATCTTCTTATCACGTATGTCTTGTTTATACTGAAAAAAGACTTGCTTAGTAGCAAGATGGTCCACACTTTCGTTAATATCGAGACATTAAAATTTAAAAAGAACGGGGGTCTAGCTCTGTTTGGAGTGGCCTATTTTGGTACTGCTTTTAGTCTTCCCATTGAGTGCTCTGTAGACGATTGCAACAATTATGAAGGATAGAATAAGCAATACCATCTTCATTATTCGTTTTGACCCTGCGGAAATGTTTTAAAATACAGAAATCATTAAAAAACGTACTAAACAATTGCTTTTAGGTTAGAATGAGATCGAGTAACGAATCAGGTCTCGTATTGCTAATGGATTGTTAATGGATAGTTAATACGACACGCGTGTGGAATTAGTCTTGCCGAATAGGTCTCTCTCTTCCAAAATCGGCCTCTGTTCCTTCAGACTATTTAGGGTTACAATGTTGATGTCAACCCCGAAGAAGACATAAACCTTCTTTAAGGAAAGTAGCAAATAATTCAATGTGAGTCGTTATTTTTGTTTTATTTCTCGCCCTTTTAATTAATCTTCTCCTTCAGGAGTCGTTATTCATGAACACAGTTTTGCTGTTTTGATTTTGCGTTAATATTGCATCACGATTTCAAATCATGTTAGGAAAGATCTTGTCTGTTAGCTTTTGAACATTTGTCAGTGGATACATTACTGCTTACTCCTTAATGTTCGGTGATATATACCATTTAAAATCATTAATTCATTATTTAGTGATATGGGCATTCTGGTGGGCGTCCTTCAATTTTTATGGAGTTGAAGTAATCCATTACTTCTAATAATCAGTGTTACAATTAACATCATTGATATAAGTATTAAATAGTACATTCTGCCTTATTACTACTCAGTGGTACATCAATTTCAAGATGATAGACAATAATTAAAGAACATATTAATTAGAACAAATATCAATAAAGCATTTATATTTAAAACGAACGAACAAGAAAGAAACACAATTTAAAGTAATATTTTAACTCTTTGACATATAAGTTTCCGATCGTAAATAAACAGTTCCTAATGAGTAGACATTTGTAATAATTAATTTAAAAGTTCGAAATTAATTCAACTCACAGATAGACTTGATGGAGTATCTTAATAAAGTACATTAGTTACTTGTAAGGAAGAAAAAAATATTTGTAACTTTGTAAAACCTCAAGTTCTTGTTCTTAAGCAATGGTCAAATAGAGGACCAGTTGAAAGAAGTGAACAGATAGTTTTCTTTTTTAACAGAAGAGATACCGTACATACACACCAAAACCAACTCTTTCTGTAATTAAAATATTGAAACAACCATTTTTGTAAATTAGAAACAATGTAGAATTCTACTGCGGAAAGCTTAGAATTATGCTTGAAATTATGCTACAAACACATGTTACGAAACAGTTGCTTGAAATTATGCAGTGTTTTAACAATTAAAATGAAAACCATGACACAAAAATGTTTCAACTTTCATGTGTTGTTCGAATGTTGAGCAGATACCTAAGGAACGGGGAAAATAGTTTGTTGTAAAATATTTCACGATGCTAGAAATATCAGGAAAATGTCATAGAATTTCGAAGAGGAATTTATACGACTGTTTTTGTGATATGCCAAATCATCTCTACTACCTTCATGGCGTTGTCGGATATTTGGTGGAATGAGTGATGAAAAAAATAGTTAGAAATAATATTACTCTGTGAACGATTTTTTCTAGTCATATTCCTTCGTTATCTCCATTCAGCAATCGCATTCTTCGCATATACATTCTTATTATTCATGAACTTCATTCTTAAAAAATAATTAATGTCAAATAAATAGCTTTTTAAAGAATATATTAGGGCAGAGAGTTTTTGGTTTTCAAAATGTAATTTAGGGTTTCTAAATAATCAAATTAGTTTTGTATTAATAAAGTAATATAGATTCATGTACTTTCTTGATTTTCATGGTTCTACTACAACTCGAAAGGAAATGTTGTCTACATATTTCAATATTTTGTGAAAGAATCTCTCCTCAAAAGCGGCAATTAAAGATTTGAGCATTGCATTATATTTTTCATTGTATTACTCTACTTATTTACAAAAATACTATATTAAAATTCAACAGAATATAGGATATGCAATTTTAAAAAATTCAATATATTTGGATCAGACGAAAATATCCACAATAAAAGTCCAATCGCAGATTCCCTGATTATGACTCTTCCAAGCACTTGAAAACGCGCTTGAGTCGTATTTGTAATTCCTTAAAAGGGTGTAATTTGTGGCTTTCACTTGAAATCACCTAAATCAGACCTGTTAAAGTACTGTGAATGTCTTAATATCAAGAGGGGATAACATCAAAATGAGAAGTCGTGTTTCTTACGCTGAGAAAATCAATAACATAACAAATTATCCATTATAAAAATATTTTAGCCTTTTAATTTTTAGTGCATTTTTAAGTTTTTATATATAGTAAAAATGAAATATCTTACTACGAGCATGTTTTGATATTTCCACAAGAACGTTTTACCTCAATAGCAAGGAACAAAATATATAAAGAACTAAAATTGGGAATCCTATACATATACAATTTTCACCACACATCTATCACTATTCATTTCATGCTTAGCTGCACTTTACAAGTATAATGTTTATATTACATTAACCACAAAATAAACAATAAACAATTAAATAACTATTATACAGTATATCTATTCGTAATATGCAGCGGATACTAATATTATTCTCAATTTGAATATGATATTTTTAACAATATTTTTCAATAATTATGTTCGGTAATAATTCATATTAACATTCGTTAACATTTTGTTTGATTTTATTAACAGCTAGTAATTTATGGATGCCGGCAAAATGCATTATTAAAAAGTCTGGAAATAAAACATAAAAAATAACTCTTCATTATCACGTTTGAGAGATTTAAGATAAATGTACTGCATTAAAAATTCAGTTCGAATATCGACTTTAAATGCACCAATAATCAGCTTAATCATAATAAACGAATCATATTCCATGGATCAAACAAAATATCTTTGGATTCTGAATAGTATATATTCAGGGTGAGATTTTAACATATCATAAAATGTTTTAATATATATACTTATTTGTTACAACGGATGAATTCTCGGACGGTCTTCAAAGCGTACCTCACTAAGCGTATGTTATAGTAAGAGACCTACTTGTTATTCAACATTGGCATCGTGCTGTATGTAGAGCGTGAGTTATAATGGATGTGAGTTCCTTAGTCCTTCGTTAAGGAAAGAAACAGAATATTAAACACGTGTGTGAACAACATAGTGACATTCTACCTACATAACCCCTGGAGCCATTCATCAGAGAGAACTAACCTCCATGAGCTTCAAAACATTTATAAACATATTACAAATCAATCGATAACCCCACCGTAGTTTTTTGAGGTACGATTGTTTTATGAGAAAATATTTTGACAAGAACTATGACACTAGCGGGAAAACGAGATAAATCTGTGATGGTAGTTTCTGAATAAACACTCATATAAATCTTTAGAAAATGTTCAAGAGTACTCACCGAAAACGCCTGTTGATTAATCCTTAAGCTGTGTGAAGCCAACTAACAAATACACTTGACGCCTCTCCGACACTACACTTCTCCCTCCGTCACACCCCGCACACTGTCAGTCCACTCGAGTCACAGTCACTTGTCACAACCACGGGCAATCCGACGAGAACGTACACAACCACTCTCATCCACCACCCACTACCACAACAAACAAACAAACGAACGAAACCAAAACAACACCCCAGCACGGCACAGGTGCTCACAGGGCGCCGGTCTACGCACGTCGCGTGTCGAACGCTGACGGCGCCGGGGTCGCGGCAACGAGGAGCAGATGGGACGGCGCCGCGGGCTCTGAGCATGGTCCGCGGCGGCGCTGGCTGGAAGGCACTGGCGGGCGAGCGCGCGGCGCGCGCAGCGCGGGCTCCGTCACCGGCTACCCCCGCTCCCTCCCCCTCCCGCGCGCACCTGCCGCCTCCGCCGCCACGCCGCCGCCCGCCGCCGCGCCGCCGAAAAGTAGGCTACTGTGCCTGCGCCACGACGCATGCGCCCGCGCCGCCGCCGTCGCCGCCGACGCCGCCCCGCGCAGACGCGCCGGCCGCGGAAGGATCCGGCTGCGCTCGGTGACGCCGCTTCAATGGATATTGATTTTTTTTTTTAAACACTCACCAATTTGCACTTTTCTTCGGGTTGCCATCCGATAAGGAAATTTAATTGCCTGTTTGAGGTAGACGTGTTTATTTCTAATTTCTTAAAATATTCTAGCGACATAATTCGTGGTTTGCTTCATTTCTGCACATCTTGCGCGTACCTGTCATTCTGTACGTTTGCTGTCGGATTTCGGCTCTCATTCGGTGCCTCTAATTCAATGGGATATTAATATTTTAGACACACAGTTTATACTTATTTTCGGTTTTCAATCCGCTAAGGAAATTTAATTGCCTGTTTGACGTAGACGTGATTATTTAAAATTTGTCGAATAATCTAGCGGTAAAATTCGTGGTTTGCTTCATTTCTGGTTATATTGCGCGTACCTGTCGTTCCGTGTGATTGCTGGCAGAGGACGTTTTTGGCTCCTATTCGGTGCCACTTCTTCAATGGAATATTGATTTTTTTAGAAACACAATTTACACTTTTTTTTCGGTTTTCAATCCGATTAGAAAATTTAGTTGCCTGTTTGACGTAGACGTGTTTATTTATAGTTTCTCAAAATATTCTAGCGTCAAATTACTGGTTTGCCGCATTTCTGCTTATCTTACATATACCTGTCGAGTGGTCGTTGGTGGCACCCGTTTCTATTTCCCAATCTGTGCCACTTCTTCAATAGGATATTGGTATTTCAGCCGCATGAAATCATGAAATTCATATTTATCTTCGATTTATATCGTCATCAGGAAAATTCATTGCCTGTTTGACATGATTATTTCTAATTTTCCATCAAAGGCACAACCTTCAAATGATTCTTAATGCAAAATAATACTTGTTTCCGTGCCTGTGTGTTTCTTGGTCTTCACCAAGCTTCAAGCCCCCATAAGCCGGCTGTTCTCTGTTTCGATTGCCAGTTGACGCTTCTCCTTCAATAGAATATTGGTTTGTCAACCAATACATGCCAGATATTTCATTGTTTAGCCACTTTAATAAGGAAAATTCATTCACGTGTTTGACGTCATCAGTTATAATTTGTTTTCAAGTGTACTGTTTAAACATTTGTTAAACAATATACAAGTTCCCTCATTTCGTCATATTTCTTAAGCGTCTGTGTCATTCCGTGTGATTGTAAAGGAACGATCTAACTGCTGCTCGGGGCTTCTACAACAACGAAATATTAATTGTTCATCAATATAAATCATTTACTTTAATGCATTCCTAAATTTATTAGTACATTTAATTGTTCATGAATGAATTTCTGATGTTTTAATAAACGCACAAAGATTTAAGAAAAATATTGAAAAAATAATTAATTTAAATTATTTCGTCAGATACTTCATACTTTTTTGTAATTGTCATAAGACATTTTATACCGGAATGAAATTAATTAACTTGCAAAAACTATGTAAAGTGCTCTAACACAAGATTACTGCTCATTATTTGGATTAATCATAAAGGAGATACATTTTTAATAATTAAATTTGATCAAGGAATTGGTTGCTGGTCAAATTTAATTATACATTGTTACTCAGTAATGTGGTCACAAAAATGTATTTATTAAAAATGCTTTGTTACTCAGTAACGTGGTCACAATTTAGATTCCTTTGCGATTACGGAATATATTCTCCGAGCGTAATTGCGTCCAACAAGGTGGTAACAATTATATATAGTATACATTTTCCTAAGCCTCAGAGAAGAAGGATATAAAGGAGTTTTTTTCCATCTTGATTGAAACGATATTTTGCCAACCTTAAATTAATATGGTCAAATATCTTGGAGTGGGAATGAATTTCTGTTTATAAACAAATATTGGAATTATTTTTATGCTATACTCCTCTACAATTTGAAAAGTTGTAAATTTTCTGAATTAACGCGCTGAATTATTGTATATACTTTTGCTTAATTGTTTTCAACTATTTACGTAAATTATTAAACGGTAATATTCTGTTTTATTTTTCAATACAATTATCATTATTTGCACTCTTAATTATGATCCATATTTTCGCTCTCTCTTTGGGTTCTTCATGTGGATCGCTGACTTAGGTCGCAACAGTAGACTTCCGGGCATCACTGCGCCAGTGCTTTTTCCTGCTCGTGCTTCCATTGTGCGGCCGTGACAGGTCGGGAGCAGCGCGACCACAGGGCGAACAGGCGTCTCGGTTTCGAGGAGGAAAAGATGAAACTGAGCTACTCCTTTAAATTGTCGGTTTCTTTCACCGCTGTCGGAGACGAGGTCTTACGAAGATTGTCAGAATGGGTTTCAAGCATATTGTTCCGCTGTTGTATTCAATACTCTCATTTGATCTACTAACCTTTCTTTTCCTTGAGAGACTGTGTGATGCTTTTTATATAGAGTGAGTTGCATCGTATTTAGGTTTCTGTACCTACATACCAGTCTAATGACTACTACATTAAGAATTCGTTTATGTAACCTGTTTCATAGGATAATACGATGAAAAACAATTGAAACATTATTTTGTTCATTTTACATTGATAAAAAGGGTTTGAATTGATTGTGAAGCACCTATTTAAATGCATTTATAAAATAAGTATTTGTCATTTTGGTCGATTGTCCGATTTGCCGTGTAAGTAAAGGTGTACAACATGCATGTGTCTAGTTCAGTTATCATATATCTAGAATATATTGATATAAAAATACTTACGTCTTAATTAAATAGGGTAGAATAACATATTAATACAGTGTTTAAACATAATATTTGCCTAGGGAGAAATATATTATGATTTGAAGTTAATATGTAGCACACCACAGCAAACACAATTTCAAACCAAGAGCGTACTCCAAGTAACACACACTTTTTAAGTAATTGTGGAAAAAAATACCACGTTCCGGTTAGCGACTTTCTTCGCCACTTTACACGACCCTCCGTAAAATTAGTGAGTACCGTGACGCGTTCAATTACAATACACCATCCGCCATCGGGCGCCGCTCCAAATTTCCCCCTCGGCTCGCGAGGAAAAAAAAATATAATATCTTGAATTTCTAATTTCTCCGCGGCGCCCCGTCTCGCAGCCCGCGAGTCACGCCGCTCCCAAGCACGCGCTGCGTCGCATGACAGGAGACCGTCGCCGCGCGGTGGCGCAGCTCGGTGCGCTTTTCCCCGCCATTTCCCACCGCGCCGGAAAACGCGCCTCCGGGCGTCCGAACGCCACGCTAAGCGACGCGCACCGCCGCGGCTTTCTACGGATATTCCCGAACGCGCGAGCCCACGTCGATGTTTGCTCAAGGGAGAGAGAGAGAGAGAAAGAGGGAGGGAGGGGGAGGGGAGAGGGGGTTTTGCCCGACATTTGCGCGGCTCATTCACGCGTTTTCGCCGAGACGCGCGGTACATCACTCGTGGGACCGGCGCGAACGACCGGGTCGGCGGTTTTCTCCGCGGATACGACCGGTCGGCACGAGACGCGGCTATGGGAATGTTGTGGCCAGCGTTGGCTCTCCCTCGAGCGATTCGCGTAGGAAATGCCGCCCACAAGAGAAGACGCGAGTCTCTTCTCAATGGAGATGTATTTGACTCTACAGGGCAGTTGTTTTATTTCTGTGGGAAATACTTGGCGAAAATACGCTAACGTTCTTAAGTAGTAAATATTTATTTCCAGAAAGTAATAGATCATTACATTGGAAAGTTGTCAACTGACTTATAAAATATTCTTATTCATTTCCAAATTCATCGTATTAGTAAATATGAAGTAGATATTTAAAATGTTTAATAAATGTAAATTAAAGATAAAGTACGAGAATTAAATTTTGAAGGCAGTACTTTTAACATGTTTTAACTTTTAATGTCCATAATATTATTAAATACTGAAATTTTACATTGTATATGACAAATATCTGACAATTTTAAGTTATACATTTATTTAAGTTTCGGCTTCTTGTGTAACCATGACTTTTATATTTTCGATATTTTTACTACATCTACTACCAATAAATTAATATAAACACTTAGTATTCATTTATTATATTTTAATATTTTCATTTACATATTATCTTCTCTTTTGGGTCGTATATTTATTCCATTTCACATAACTCACATTAGCCATGTAAATGCCGGAAGAGTGAGGGATAAATACGTAGGTCTTCACAATTTGCCAAGCTGTGCGCACCGTTCCTCACGTTCACTGACGGGTATCTCACCGTGTATAGTCAGCAATCAGTCACTAATAACATCAAATCCAATACCCCACTTCCTTTCGTCAGCCATTCGAGAAGCAACACGAAAGTTCCCGAGATAACCAGAAAACCTAATACGGCAACCCTCTCAACGCGGCTGCATAACGGGTTGCATCACCTATTTTGCAGGGGCTTTAGAGGCATGGAAAGGTCGTGATGATTCAGGAAGCGGAAGCTTACGTCAGGTATTGTAGAAATAAAAGAACTCTGTGCGCTTGCATTATTTTTTAATTTAATGGGATACCACTGTTGTGCCAGTGCCATGCAACCATCCGTGGCAGGTGTCTGCGACGGGGCTTCTCGTTTGCGGAAGTTTGGATGATTCAAAACTGATACATGGGATGTGACTAAGCATATCCACACTGCAGAACGAAAAGTCTCGTCACTTCCGACATAAAATTAATCTTTATACATTATATTTATAAACTATGTGTACATTTGAATTACTTCACTTTTATTCATTCTAGTCAATTCTCAAATCAGAAATTAATTCATTAGGAAAACTAATGAGCAATTCATCGCATT